CTAGGGTTTAGGGTTTAGGACCTCCCTTTTGGGGGTTTTCGGCCTTTCTCCGCCTCCAAAAGGCTACGGCGAGCTCCCGACTGTCGAAGCCATGGGCACGGAAGCCATGTCCGGCTCCCAGAAGTTTTTGCTAGGGCTGCTGCAGTTTCAGAGGGTGTAGGGTTTAGGGTTAGGTTTAGGGGTTGGGGTTTAGGGTTTAGGGTTTAGGGTTTAGGGTTTAGGGTTTAGGGTTTAGGGTTTAGGGTTTAGGGTTTAGGGTTTAGGGTTTAGGGTTTAGGGTTTAGGCGAAGGTTTTAGGGGGTCTGGAAGACCTAACTCAACCCACCGCCCAGCTCGAAGGAAGACGAACTACTCCATGGCATGATAACATGATCATGTAAGCCCGCAACCCGAAGCCCTACAGCCTAAACCCCAAACCCCAAACCCCAAACCCTAAACCCTAAACCCTAAACCCCAAACCCTAAACCCTAACCCCTAAACCCTAAACCCTAAACCCTAAACCCTAAACCTTAAACCCCAAACCCTAAACCCCAAACCCCTGGCCTCCAGGTTCGGCCTCACAGGCAAGGACTTCGTGATCCTGGCTGCGGACGGCCAGGCCACAGGTTATCGGGTTTTTCTTTACCCTTAACCCAGGGACGCCAATACCCCTTAATTGGGCGATGTTCCTTAGAAGATAAGAGGGTTCCTTATATGGTTTGAATATTCCTGAATTAAAGGATATTCTTTAACACATAAGAGGGTTCCTTATGTGGTTTGAATATTCCTGAGTTAAGGGGTTTTAGAGTCTCTGGGAACCTGAGCTTACTCAAAAGGTTTTCCGACCCTTGGCGCCCTGCACACAATTGAAGGACTTGTAGACCTCGAGCCAGTGCAAAGCGTCAGGGCTGAGTATCCGGAGCACGGTTGACTGGATTTGGTTGGGGATTTTAGGGCACAAGGTCCAGGGTTCGGGATCTATGACCGGTATAAGCGGATCCTCAAGCATGCAGAGCGCCCTCTCCCTAGACCCTTAACCCCACCCACCCACCCACCCACCCACCCACCCACCCACCCACACACCCACACACCCACACACCCACACACCCACACACCCACACAAACACAAGCACACACGCACAAGCACACACGCACAAGCACACACGCACAAGCACACACGCACAAGCACACACGCACAAGCACACACGCACACACACGCACAATCACAAGCACACACACGCACAAGCACAACACGCACAAGCACACAAACACAAAGCACAACGCACACACGCACACCAAAAAGCACCACACTCACGACACGCACACACTCAGACACGCACACAGTTCACGCACACACGCACACACGCACACCCGCACACTCGCACTCACGCACACGCGGCACACACTCACACTGCTCACAACCGCACTAAACGCGCACAAACATCTACCACAACGCGCACACCCACGCGCACACGCGCATTCACGCGCACACGCGCACTCGCGCACTACTCTCACACGCTCACACTCACGCACACCAACACGCGCACCACACGCTCAGCCACACTCTCGCACCACTCTCACGACGCGCACACCGCACACGGCTCCTAGACACTCGCACAGACACACACAGACTCGCACACTCGCACACGCGCACACTACGCTCACTACGCGCTCACGCGCACCACGCGCACACACACTCGCGCACACTCTCGCTACTTCTCACAACCTCTCACACGCTCAACGCTTACACACTCTCCCGCACACACTCGCACAACAGCTCACACTCCCCACTCACACACACCACTCACACCACTCACACTCTCACAGCGCACTAAGTACTCACTCACACACTCACACTCACACTCACACAGCACACCCACCCGCCGCACACACACGCACAGCACCCACCCACACACACACCAGCACACACCCACACACACACACACACACACACACACCCAACACCACACACACACCACACACACACAACACACACACACACACACACACACACACACACACCCACACCACACACACACACCACACCACTACACACACAGCACACACACACACACACACACACACACACCACACACACACACACACACACACACACACACACACACACACACACACACACACACACCCACACACACACACGACACACACACACACACACACCCACACACACACACACACACACCACACACACACACACACACCACACACACACCACACACCCACACACACACAACACACACACACACACACACACACACACACACACACTCACACACACACACACACACACACACACACACACACTCACACACTCCTCACACACCACACAACACACACACACACACCTCACACTCAGACATCACACACACATTCACACTTCACACTCCCACTCACACCACAAAAACTTCACACGCACACACACACTCACACACACACGCACCCGCACACAATCTCACTACTCACACTGCAACGCACACTTGCACCTCACACCAACACTCACACGCACACTCACACTCACACACTCACACTCCCATACTCACACTCACACTCACCCTCACCCTCACCCGTCACCCTCACCCTCACCCCCTCACTCGCACTCTCACTCTCCTCACACTTCTCATCACACCTCCTCACTTCTCTTCAGCTCTTTCAAACTCTCACCCAGCTCTCTCTCTGTCTCATCACCGCTCACCACTCGCACACTCGCACACCATCTCTCACACACACACATCTCACACACCGTACGTCTCACCTGCGCGCACACCTCTCACTGCTCTGCACGCTCACAACGCTACACTCTCTCCACGTCTCCCACTAGACTACTGCTCGGACTCTCACTCCCACGCACACTGCCCACAGCACAACCACACTTCACACGAACACTCACAACACTCCACACACCACACACCACACACTCGTACACACACCCACTCCCACTAAACCACACGCTGCACAACACTACACCGCACACCTCTCCACACCCCCACTCTCCCCCACGCTCGACGAACGCGCACGCGCACACGCCCACGCACACGCACACGCACACGCACACGCACACGCACACGCACACGCACACGCACACACACACACACACACACACACACACACCCACACCCACACCCACACCCACACCCACACCCACACCCACACCCACACCCACACCCACACCCACACCCACACGTTCGTTAGACAGACCCCTTGATCGTGCTTTTGCTTGAGCATCCTGGTTGCACAGTCTTCCTGCGCCTTCAGGCAGCCTACTCCATCATCCGCTTGAAGAATGATGCCGACAAGATCTGGAAGGCCCTTCCACCCGGCCCTAAACCCGAAACCCTAAAACAAAAACCCTAAACCCTAAACCCTAAACCCTAAACCCTAAACCCTAAACCCTAAACCCTAAACCCTAAAACCTAAACCCTAGATCCGAAACCCAAAACACCCGAAGCGCCCCTGGGCCATGGGCTGGGAGGCCCAGGATGGGTCTCCGGTGGTTTCGGCTTGGGTAAGCTTACTACTACTAGGGTTTAGGGTTTAGGGTTTAGGGTTTAGGGTTTAGGGTTTAGGGTTTAGGGTTTAGGGTTTAGGGTGTATATTCTGAGAATATCCGGTTTGCTGGTTATTCGGCCTTCATGTTCTCAGAAGAGTATCTTTTAATCTGGTAATTTTCATTTTGTTGTCCACACAATCATCTTGCCATCTTGCTACCTTTTTGTCAAACCATCTCGTAACTGTTGATAGACGAAATCCTGCATCATTTTTCTACCGCAGGCCATCCCTTCTAAACCCCGAATCTTCATAATTATTGGTTTCCCAGAACAAGTGCAAAAAGGTATGTGTGCGAATGACCCAAATCCTGCGTCAGCCATGCATCAACATTGAAATTGAAGGGGCGCGGGAAGTGCGCTGGTTTTGTCCATCCACCGTATCTCAGTTTGAAGCATTATATAATTTCAGACTAGCAGAATAGTAGGTTCGTGTATTTGTAGGTAAGAAGATGAGTACACTAGGAGATGAAAAGACTGGCATGCTAGTAGATTTGTAGATTAGCCTACGAGCAGATCAGCAGATTCGTGATCAGACGGACGTGATTAGCAGGAGTAGATGCGTAGATCATTGGGTTTGAAGTTTGGTAGTAAGTTGGTCGAGTAGTAGATCAGTGTACACAAAAATGCGACGATGCTAGTGTATGGTAGTATACTATGAGTCTCTTCGTAGTACATTAGTACTACATTCGTAGTATGGCAGTAGCATGTTAGTAGTATATGAGCTGCATATTGGTAGTACACCAGTAGTATGCTAGCAGCAAATAGGTAGACCAGCAGGAAGTTACTACAATTAGAAAATATTCGCTTTATTCTCGTAGTATATCCGTAGCATGCTCGTCGTACATTCGCAGCATACCAATAGTACGTTAGTAGCATATTCGTCGTGCATTCGTAGTACATTCGTATGTTGTTCGAAGTCCAGTAGTCACAGTTGTCTTTCATATTCTTATAGTTTTGGCTTCATTTTCGTATACTATTTGTATGATATGAGTATGTATTGTTGTAGTGTTGGCATTAAAAACGCGTACTATAGGTATAATATTGTTATATTATATTGTGAGTGCGACTGTAGGAAATATTTGCATAGTTTTAGAGACGATATTAGTACTACGTTAGTGTGATAGTTATGTAGTATATACGTAGAACATTAGTATGCCAATAATCTAACATTAGTACAGAGTTCATATTGGTATCATGTTTTTCCGCATATACTCGTATAATATCAGTATACTACTAATATAGTATTTGTTCAAAATCTGTCCAGCGCTATCATATTTTCGGTATATTCGTCCGTCAGCATCTTAGCACGAGTAGCTGAGTAAGAGTAAATGAGCAGATCAGTGAATGAGTACTAGTATAACCGAAGAGCAGTACATAGTCCACAGGAGTACGTGAGCACAGTAGTACATTCGAATCCTTTGGCTGCAAGAGCACCTTACAACGGGGGGGCTCATCATGGAGGTCAGGCTGCACATGAACCGGGGAGTGGGGATCCAGAGCCCCTGAAACCTCATTGGGTTAAGGGTTTGGGGCTGAGTATAATAAGTTTGGTTTTCTTGAGTTTCCTTGTCTTTTTGGAGGAATGAATGCCGGTTGAACTGTTGGAGAAGTGCCACCTGAACGTCCCAGCTGGAAGCCTGCGCGGAGGTCGGCAACATGCTTTTCGCCTGCTCCGGTCCGCCCGCCGACACAGCGAACTTCGCCCCTTGGACATGTTAATGTTCACAAAGTTTAGGGTTTTGTTTGTTTCTTTTTGGGGTGGGGGGGGATGGGGGTTGCGGGTTTAGTTTAGGCAGAAGAGTACGGGGTTAGGGTCCTCCCCCTGACGCCTGTAGCACTCAGGGCCTCAGCGCTCGGGGCAAAGTAGGAGCCCAAAGTGACGACGAAGCCCAGACCCCGAATTGTAGTTTCGTCCGTTTGGGCACCGAATTGTTCGGAGCAAAGATTAGGCCAACCCCCCCTCCCCAACCAAAGAAGCAACTTGGAAGTGCCACAAGGTGTCTAAGGGTTGAGGGATGTTGTTAATTCGGGCGCAGGGTCGAACATCTAAACCCCCCTAAACCCTACACCCTAAACCCTGAACCCTAAACCGAAACCCTAAAACCGCCTTCTGCCAGATGGAGTTCATCGAGAAGAACGTGAAGCTGAACGAGCTCAGAACAGGAATCCCCATGTCCACCAAGGACTGGCTGGTTCTTAGGGTACGAATTTCCTATCCCTCAAACCCTAAACCCTAAACCCTAAACCCTAAACCCTAAACCCTAAACCCTAAACCCCAAACCCTAAACCCTAAACCCTAAACGCTAAACCCTAAACCCTAAACCCCCTTAAAGGATACATATCGGGCCCTAAATTCCCTCATTCCCTGATAAGAACCAGAGGAAGGAGCCCGTGCCGCAGGGTTTCATGTCTCGCAAGTGCTATAGACACAGCCCCTACATGCAGGGAAGGTAGCTGCACTTTGGGGGTTTAAGGTTTTAGGCTTTAGGCTTTAGGCTTTAGGGTTTAGGGTTTAGGGTTTGGGGTAGCGCATTTGCCACGTAGGCTGCCGCGAGCTTCACGCGGAACGAGCTCGCGCATGCGCTGAGAAAAGGCCCCTTCCAGGCCGCAGGGGCTGAGGATTTCATTGACCCGGTTGTTCTGGAGGCTGAGGGTTCAGTGCTTTTGCGAGGTCCTCCATGGAAGGGTTTAGGGTTGATAGAAAAGACTAGCATTTCGACAGAAGCCGTGTGCACATCACGACTTCGAGGACAGTATGCACTCACAGGGTGCGGCGCAGAAATCTACCGGGCAAGCTCCCAGGAACCAAGACGATGAGAAACGAGGTCATGAGAAGATTTTCTCGTACACCTACGGTTGAAAATACCGATTCGCTAGAGCATCATTCACAAGCACAAGACCATATGACGCTGTGTCAGAAGAGGCCCGCAAAGACCCCGTGGACTACCACGAATGCAACCCATGGTCAAACCACACGGCCCTTTCAGAAGGACGTCATCATAAGCCAGCAGTGGATGCGGAGGTAGGGCCACCGGATGCGCATGGAACACGGTAGTGCCGATGTTCCATCCCCTGGTTACTCCTTTGCCAGCATTGCATACACCGAATCCCGGTGCAGCTGCCAGCAAGCATGTTCAAGGCTCGGTCACCGAATCCTTGAACATGGTGCAGTTGTGACGACCCTGAAAGCAAGACACCAGTCCTACTGAAATGGTATATTTCAGAGGTGCCATCCCAACCGCCGACCATCTTGTGCGAAAGCAGTTGTCCATGCGGCTGAGTCACTCTCGAGGCAGAATATGAAGAGCTCCCAGCAAGCATTATCGGACTGGATGCAGAGTTCCCCCAAATTGAAGCTCTGCCAAACAACGAATCTTAGCCTTGTGACGTGTAAGGTCCACGCCCATTCGCTGCTCCAAAGTCTCTCAAATCCGCACAAAAAAGATGAGTGAGCCCATGAGCTGGGAGACCACCTCGAAGATGTGTCCTTGCAGCTTTGCGTCGTGCCCTGGCTCCTGAACCCCCTTTTCAGGGTTGAGGATTTAGGGTTTATAGGGTTTATAGGGTTTATAGGGTTTATAGGGTTTATAGGGTTTATAGGGTTTATAGGGTTTATAGGGTTTATAGGGTTTATAGGGTTTAGGGTTTAGGGTTTAGGGTTTAGTGAGTCCACATAGAATCACCGAATCCTCAGACCAAGTGCGCAGAATAGCCATTCAAATTCACGAGCTGCGCAGAAGAGCCACTCAAATTGACTAAGTAGGCCCCATTGTTTTAGCTTCCTAAACCCTAAACCCTAAAGCCTAAACCCTAAACCCTAAACCCAAAACCCTAAACCCGAAAAACCCCAAACCCTAAACCTTGTGTAGCCTCGCGAGACCGACATCCTCGTGGGCGGAGTGGATGCAGAGGGCCCTGGCCTCTACTTCATGGCCCGTGCCTTAGCTGCCGCGGTGAGCGCAAGAAGTGAGACCCCTAAAACCCCAACCGAAGCCCTAAGCCCTAAGCCCTCAGCCCTAAGCCAAGCCCTGAGCCCTGAGCCCTAAGCCCTAAGCCCTAAGCCCTAAGAGCCCTAAGAGCCCTAAGAGCCCTAAGCCCTAAGCCCTAAGCCCTAAGCAAACCCTAAACCCTAAGCCCTAAGCCCTAAGCCCTAAGCCCTAAGCCCTAAGCCCTAAGCCCTAAGCCCTAAGCCCTAAGCCCTAAGCCCTAAGCCCGAAGCCCTAAGCCCTAAGCCCTAAGCCCTAAGCCCTAAGCCCTAAGCCCTAAACCCTAAACCCTAAGCCCGAAGCCCTAAGCCTTAACACCTACCCCTAAACCCTGAGTTTAAGGCAAATGGGGATGAGGACTCTAAGCCGAAGGCCTGGTCTAAGGCCAGAACCATGGGCCCTTAGCATGGTCCCTTACCCTTGTTTATAGGGATCCGATTTATGGGTTTAGGGTTTAGGGTTTAGGGTTTAGGGTTTAAGGTTTAGGGTTTAGGGTTTAGGGTTTATGGTGTATATACTGGGGTATATAGCAAGGGACCCACATTGAGGGCCCATTTTTCGGATCCCCTGCTTGGGTTGGGAACAATCAGGCCCTGGATCCGAAAACTCTAGCCCCAAACCTTGAACTTTCTAGGAAAAACACCTTTTCAGGTTTAGGGTTTAGGGTTTAGGGTTTAGGGTTCAGGGTTTAGGGTTTAGGATGAAGCTTGTCAGAATAGATGCGGCTTGGGCTCGGTCATGCGGCCTCGGCGTGCTTTCCATCTTGCCTGTTGGTATCTTATCGTCTTTCCAGCTTTGGAGTTTTAGGGTCCAGAGGCCCTACCACTTGACCCCTTCCCCCCATTGCCGGGCACAGGGTTTTCAGGGCATACTGGCAGGTCTGAGCTTCTGCGCAGAGGTGTTTGAAGCTTCTTCCTTGCTTCAGCATCTATCTTGCACAGTCACTACAGAAGGATCCCTAAACCTTAAACCCTAAACCCTAAACCCTGAACCCTAAACCTTAACACACACGACTTTCGGCTCCAGCTGCACGGCAGCCACAGTTCTTGGAAACCAACCGAAGCAGCATCTAGTTCTTTCCCCCCCCTGCCCCCCCCCCCCCCCCCCCCCCCCCCCCCCCCCCCCCACGTGCCATTCCGACCCCTTGACAGATCCATCAGGCTTCCCCGTTGCAGGCTTGCGAGTTTCACAGGTTTGTGCCATGATCCGGATTCGGTGGGCATCTGGCGAGGAGGTAGCCAGCCTGGCTGTTGAGGAATTGCAGGAGATGGCGGGTCAGGCCAGGGCCACGTTTCGAGTTTCGGGTTCAGGGTTGAGGGTTTAGGGCGTTCCAGCGCTGTAGGTTGACCAGCTTTCCAGGAAATTATGAGCACCCCCCGGCCACCCTCCCCATCCGCAGGTGCTGGAAATCTGAAAAACCACCATACATGCCCCAAAGTTTCCGATGCCTGCGCCGCAGCCCAAACTCATCAAACCCTACATGCCCTACGGCCCTAAGGCCCTCCCCGATCCGTAAACCCCTAAACCCGAAACCCTAAACCCTAAACCCCAAACCCTAAACCCTAAACCCTAAACCCTGAACCCTAAACCCTAAACCCTAAACCCTCAAGGTGGGCCTGCCCGTGCGAGCACTGAAGCGGCACCTCCAGGGGATCATCGGCCTTCCCCGCTTCCGCCAGCGCCTGGTGGCCGGCTTCGGGGTGCTGGAGGCGGTTTAGGGTTTAGGGTTTAGGGTTTAGGGTTTAGGGTTTAGGGTTTAGGGTTTAGGGTTTAGGGTTTTGGCCACGTGTTTCTTTCGGGGAACTTCATTCATCTTTGCATCTTTGTTCAGCAATTGTCTGTATGTATGTATGGGTGGGGTTGAGTGACGAAGGCCCTTTGGGCTCCGGGCTTAGTTAGGACTTTAATTTGGGGGGGGAGGGGGGGGATTTGGAGGTTTCGGGCTCTCGTTTCTGGAGTCGGGAGGGCTTTGGGTTCTTACATGCTTCGGCGGGGTAAGCCTTGAGTGGGGTTTAGGGTTTAGGGTTTAGGGCTTCTTCTTCCGTATTCCGGCTCGAGGACGACGCGCCGCTGGACGTTTGGGGAGACCTGCAATTGGTCCTGCTCGGGTTCCTCCCGCCTGCGGAGGACGGCGATGTTCCGAGCAAGCTAGGGTTTAGGGTTTAGGGTTTAGGGTTTAGGGTTTAGGGTTTAGGGTTTAGGGTTTAGGGTTTAGGGTTCAGGGTTCAGGGTTCAGGGTTCAGGGTTCAGGGTTTAGGGACAAAAGGGGGTAGGGTATAGGGTCATGTTTCCTAGGTAGGATTAGGGGGGCCCTGAAAAGGGAACCCTTCTGAACCCTCTTCTGGCTCTCTTACACAGGGACCTTATTGAGAGGGTCTATATTCTCAAGGGTCCCCCCTATATCCTATCCCCCAATGTTGCCTTGAAGATAGAGAGAACCCCCCGGACCCGAAATCCGATGTGAGGTTCGGGGGTGGCTCAGCACGAGGCTCCATTTCCTCTTGGGTCCTTCCGAAATCAGGACCTTCTTATTTTTTAATTGTTTTTTAGTTTTTAGGGTTTGAAGTTTTGTCCAAGTTTTCCCTCAGGACTTTCAAGATGTCGATGAGCTGATCTCCGCGACGCAGCGGAATTCTGTGCTGGAGGTGGACGCCATCTTGTCACGCCCGCAGGACCCTAAACCCTAAACCCTAAACCCTAAACCCTAAACCCTAAACCCTAAACCCTAAACCCTAAACCCTAAACCCTAAACCCTAAACCCAAAAGCCTAAAGCCTAAACCCTAAACCCTAAACCCTAAACCGTGGCTCAGGATCCGGATCTGCGAAACAATTTCAACCTCACTGCTCTCTACAGCATTTCGGAGCTCTTTTCGGGGGTCTGGGGTTTAGGGTTTGGGGTTTAGGGTTTGGTGTTTAGGGTTTAGGGTTTAGGGTTTGGGGTTTAGGGTTTGGGGTTTGGGGTCTAGGGTGCTCTGTTTTGGGAGTTCCTGAGGATCCCGTGCTGACTTAAAACAAGCATTGGAGCCTGAGCCCCCAGACCCTACCTGTAACCCCTCAAACACTACGTGTGAGTTCGTAGGTAACTTGTCACGCCCCCTGACTACGAGGCCCCAACATGTTCGCCCTGAGCCTTGCACCCTAAACCTCAAGCCCCAGGAACATGAGCCCTAAACCCTAAAAACCCTACCCCTGAACCTCTCAACCCTCAAGCCATAAACCTGAAGCCCTAAACACCTTAACCCCTAAACCCTAAATCCTAAACCCCAAGTGGACCCCTACTACCCTAGAGACCCCTAAACCCCCGTCAGCCGAGGCGCCGCTCGGGCTGGGGCATTACAGTGTGCCAAGCTTATTGTGGAGGCTGGTGCGGACAAGGACAACGCCTGCTCCCCAGGCCCCTTCCAGGGCACACCCGAAACCACCCTAAACCCTAAACCCTAAACCCTGAACCCTGAACCCTGAACCCTGAACCCCGAACCCTGAACCCTGAACCCTAAACCCTGAACCCTAAACCCTGAACCCTGAACCCTGAGCCCTGAACCACGAACCCTGCAGAGTACCTTTCAGCGGATCTTCTTGACATAGGCTTTGTTGGGGACAAAGTTCATCCCTGAGAGGCCATATTTACAACGAGTTGACGCCTGTCCACATCGCAAGCCAGAGAGACCACCTGGAGGTCGTGCGCTTCTTGGCGGAGGTGAGGGCGAACGTCAACAAAGACTGCGGACCTAACTTGACGCGACCCATCTTCCACGCCGCAAACCATGGCTCCACACAAATGGTGCAGGTGCTGCTGGATGCACGTGCTGACATAAATGTAGGTCGAAGATCCGATGGTGCAACGCCGCTATGTCTGGCGTCGAGCAACGGTCACGAGGACGTTGTTCGCTTGCTGTTGGATTGCCGCGCCGACGTCGACATAGCCCTAGGGTGCCACACTCCCCTCGTCATGGCCGCTCATACGGGTTACCTGGCGATCGTGCGTATGTTGCTGGAGGCTGGTGCGGACAAAGATCTCGCCAGCACGGACTATGGAGCTACCCCTCTCTACCACGCGGCCCAACAAGGCAATGTTGAGGTGGTGACCATATCCCCCTTGGGAATCATTTTTGATTTTCGCTTTTTTTTAAAACCCAAGAGGATATGAACAATATCATTCTTCTTCTTAGTATTTTTTATTCAGGTTCTAAGGGGGAGTAGAGGTGACCTCGCTGCTGGCGTTTGGAGCCGACGTGGACAAGGCCTGCTCGGTTGATGGGGCCACGCCCCTCTGCATCGCATCCCAGGAGGGCCACGTGAGCATTGTGCCTTGGGTTTAGGGTTTAGGGTTTAGGGTTTAGGGTTTAGGGTTTAGGGTTTAGGTAGCCCGGTGGTACCCTTTTACTCTTTTTTTGGGTTCTGGGTTCCCGTTTTTAAAGTAGCCAACCACAAAAAGGGGGGGTGCCCGTAATAGAATATGGTTTCTGGGCTGCTCAGGTGCGGCTTCTTCTGGATGCTGGCGCCGCGTGCAACTGCAACACGAGGATAAGGCCGCAGGGCTCAAAGAACGTCTGTCGTTCCAGACCTAAACCCTAAACCCTAAACCCTAAACCCTAAACCCTAAACCCTAAACCCTAAACCCTAAACCCTAAACCCTAAACCCTAAACCCTAAACCCTAAACCCTAAACCCTAAACCCTAAACCCTCTTCTCCCGAGTTTCTGCACTCCTGTGCCAAAATTTCAAACGACCAAGCTATGAAATCCCGACTTCAAAGCCGTCCAGCTCAGGCCGAATGGAACCCCCCTGACCATGGCCATACAGCAGCGTCACTGGGAGGTTGTGAACCTGCTGTTTGCCTTCGGTGCAAGCTTAAACCCTTCTGGGCAGCGGCAGCTCGGGCAGCACAGGATGTGGGCTTTTTGTGCAATTGAGGACGTTTAATACCGGAGGCCAAGATTACCCCTGCGGAATCTCTCACAGAATGATCTAGCAAGCAGTACCCCTACACCCTAAACCCTAAACACTAAACCCTAAAACCTAAACCCATTCTAACTAGATAAAGCCCTCTGCAGTTGCTGGAAGCCAGGGCGCGCAGGGAAGGGGAGGATCCTTCGTCGCAGGGGCTGAGAGGGGCTTTTTGAGGGTTTGAGGGCTGTTCCCGTGGAAGCTGAGGGCAGCATCTGAAAATCATACCCCATGAGAGGCACAGCAGAACCCAACCGAGAGCCGCTTGCTTTTGAAGCCCGAAGCTTGACCCTTTCCTCGAAGAAAGACGCCCAGACCTACAACCCCGTCGCCGGATGCCACAGCCTGGCCGTATGAATGGTGGCCCACAGTCACAGGGTGTGGCTTGGGAATTCTTGGGAAGATTTTGTTAAAAAATTTTGGTACTATAAGTCCTAAGAAACAGCCGAAATCATCACTTTTGCTAGGGTTCCCAGTTCAGTATATATAGGTGGGCCCAGTTGGCCGGATACAGTCTGGATGGCGGGGTGGTGGTCTGGTTGGGATGCCTCTTGGGTTGCCTGGCTTGGACCCCTTAAACCCCTATACCGCAACCTTCAACCCTAAGGCCCTAATCCCTAAACCCTAAACCCTAAACCCTAAACCCTAAACCCTAAACCCTAAACCCTAAACCCTAAACCCTAGAGCCTACGCCCCTGTAAGTCAACCCGTTTTCGCGGTACTGCTCAGGGTTTAGGGTTTAAGGGTTTGTTTACATGTGGATCCCTTTCCAGCGGGATCCCTTAAACCCTCAGCCCTAAACCCCCTGAACCAATCCTGAACCCTGAGCCCTAAACCAACCGGAACCCTAAACCCCAAGCCCTAAGCCCTAAACCCTCAGATCTGAACCCCAAACAGATGTGATCTCAGACTGGGTCGGGTTCAGGGGTTTAGTGGATTGGGAGCCCTAAGCCCATTTGGATCCTTTGGGAAGGCTTGGCATACTTGAGCTCCTGGAGGGTGAACTCACTACAGCCCAGAAAGGCCTGAAGGGCCAGAGATCCCAAATTGACCCACCCCCGCCCCCAATGAAAAAGAAAAGCCTTGAAAGCCTTCTACCCTGAACCCGAAAGTCCGACAGCCCCAAGCTCTGACGAGTCCCGTGTCCCCTTACCGTTTTCTCACTCAAAATGCCCCTAGAAACCACACAGAGCCTTATAGCCAATCTGAGCCGGAGGGGCAAGCCAACCAGATTGTTTACCCGGCGGCGTGGCCTACCACCTGGCAAGTGCAGCATGCTGGGACCAATGTGGTTGGGGCGGCGCACTGGTGACATGGAGGTGTCTGGGCTTGGGGGTTCAACCCTTGGTTTTTGCAGAGCCTATTATCCCTTAACCCTAAGCCCTAAACCCTAAACCCTAAACCCAAATCCCTAAACCCTCAACCCTAAACCCCCTGCCTCCCGAACCGCCAAAAGCATTCTGACAGGCAGGCGAGGAGCACCTCCGCCGTCAAACAAGTTTCTGCGTGCAGGTGCACAGCGATGAAAAAGCCCGAGAGCGTCATGAGTGGCGTGGGTCTTTAGGTTTGAGCCATGTCGATGTTCTGGAACCTCTACCTCACAATATCTCAGGACTATCTGGCCAGTAGCGAGAAAGTGAACAAGGCGCGGTGCGGGTGACTCGTAGTCCATGTACCTCAGATGAAATTCTTTGGGTGCCAGAGTTTCGGGGTGGATGATGGTGGATGAGTACACATGTAGCACTGGAGATTTCGGTCAGCATTCTTCATCCACTTTGGTGACGCAGTAAGACGGAGCTGCAGGGGACTTGCCAGGGTGTTCGTGACGGGAGCGTGTTGGAGCTTGGCTCTTCCTAGGGGTTTACGATAAGCCCTCTATAGAGGCCCAGATAGTGGGGTCGCCTTATAATAAGGAAGGTACCCTAAACCCTAAACCCTAAACCCTAAACCCTAAACCCTAAACCCTCAACCCTAAACCCTAAACCCTAAACCCTACACCCCAAACCCTAAACCCTAAACCCTAAACCCTAAACCCTACACCCCAAACCCCAAACCCTAAACCCTAAACCCCTAATATCGTAAACCCCCTCCTGAATGTGGTGTTGCCGGCGGCAGTTCTGCACGCACAAGTGGATGCAGGCGTGCGCGACCTCACCTTCCTAGCTCATGGAAGCAGGGCCTCCTTTCGGTCTAGGGTTTAGGGTTTAGGGTTTAGGGTTTAGGGTTTAGGGTTTCGGGTTCGGGGTAGAGTTCAGGATATTTCGACTCTGCAGCGGCACACGGTATCCGCAACGTAACGCGTTGCAAAGCTGTGGTTGCTGGGATATCTGCCTTGCCTACAATGAGCGAAATCTTCACCCTGAAGAGCCTCATATGCCACCACTGTATGCATTGTTCGGTTTAGGGTTTAGGGTTTAGGGTTTAGGGTTTAGGGTTTAGGGTTTAGGGTTTAGGGTTTAGGGTTTAGGGAAACTCGCTGCTATTCAAGCTTGTCGTGTGGGCTTCGCCGTGAAGACACGTGGACAGACCTGCATGAGCTCACACGCTTGTCGGCGCAGACCAGCAGTCAAACATACAAGCTTGCTATCCTTGTGGTTGCTCACACATGAACGCTTCTTGTGGGGGGGGGTGGGTTCTAGTGTTGAGGAATTTGCTAGTATGCTTCGGCCCTTCATCCTAAGCCCTAAAGCCCGAATACGCTTGGAGGCAGCCCATGGGTACGGCGCGATGTTCACACTTGGCCTGATGGTCGTGGCCTTAGCAATGAGCGTTTAAGGGTGCTTAGGGGGGTTCGTGAGTTTTTTTTTGGATACCTTACGATGCACACGCATTGTGAGCACCACCTTGCATCCTATACCCTAACCCTTCCAACCTCAAATCCTGAACACGTTGTGAGTTCGGGTTGCCAGAGACAGGATGCAGGCACCTGCAACAACGAAGCCTTGCGGGTGCTGGAGGGTTCCCAGAAAAAGTCCAGGTACTTTCACAGGGAATACTTGGGGGTTCAAGAAGGGACTACGCGGTCGAAGTCTCACTTTTTCAGACTTTTTGTGTTCGCCTTACCGTCTCAACGGTGACTGTCGTCACGCAGAGGCGCTACCACTGTCGGGAGTAGTAGAGCCCGCGCCGCGGTACAACTGTGGTAGTTATCGCCCATGTGGGTACGCAGAGACTCCAATATTCCCTAATTAAGGAATGTACCTTAAATTCTAGTAAGATCCCTAATATGATCTAAGGTATATTCCTTAATCAAGGGATATTGGAGTCTTTGGGTACACCAAGTAAGCTCTGAACGCAGCGCCCAGGACCGATACTGGAAGCCCAATCTTGAAGAGGCCGAGGCGCTAGGGAGTGGTCAAAGCTCCAAATCCTTGACCTGCGGGAGCAGAACGCAAGCTCTCAACATCTCTTGACCCTCAAGTTGCAACTCCCCCACCTAACCCCCAACCCCCCTCCCGACCCCCGGCCCTCCTTAACCTCCAACCACTTAGAATATCAGCAGCCAATTTTGCCCCTCACTGACATGCAGCGAGCGGGCGAAGGGGGTTGGGGGGGGGATTGAGGCAGCGAATGCTTCCGGCTAACAAAGAGGTTTGGGTTCAAAGGGTGGGTTGAAAGTTGGGGGCTCAGCTGGCATGTCTTGGCAGAGGTAGGGCAAGACCCGTGCCCGTGGCTTCCCGTCGCAATGTCCCGGTGTAAGAAGGGCTCCCCAGACTCACTTGCACAGCTTAAATTAACTGCCCCGTCACTGGCAGAAATGTTCCCTTCAAGTCGCAATGTTGTGTAGGCGAGCACCGAAGCTGGACACAAACATACACTGGGCTTCAGCTTCGCACCCTGACCGAACCAAGTAAATAGGTTGCCAAGGAAACTCCAAGGAACGAGGGTAGACAAATTGAGATGCAACAAATGGGACGGAAACTACAGATGGGGTAGCTCAGTGGGCGAGGATCGAACTTCATGCTGTGACGACACGTTCCTGTTGAGAGCCACCCAACCGCCAAACCGTAACCTAAATCCTGAACCCAATTCAGCCAGGCCATTGACATCATCAAGAAGTGCATCAAAGAGCTTGAGACGCGCCTCTCCTGGCAGAGGTTGAGACAGTGAGAGTCCATCCACATGTCTCTTCTTGTATATATATATATATGTATATACTATATCAAATAAAAACAATAAAATGACATAGAATCAAATAAAATAATATAGTATACATACACTTCATATATTATGCCAACTTGCATGCCAGTCAGTCCCGTGATGTCACGTAGTGTAATGTCGTGTCAAGTTTTGCAACCTTTATGTTAGGCCACACATATTTACCTGCGTATGTTATTTCACACATATTTACCTGCGTGCGCCAGGTGCGTATGCGGTATCTTGTGCAGTGGTGTACATTGCAGGGCGTTGGAATGCATGGTGACTGAACTGCAGCAGCGTCAGACCCTAAAACCCCAAACGCACGCAAACGCAAGACCCTGGAACGCTGCAGTCCTAAAGTGTGAAGTCCGCCCGCCCCCGAGCTCTCTTTCTCGGCCAAGTCTTGAAAGTGTGCGTCGCACACGGTCCGGGCTTGGGATGAGGTTTCAGAGCTTAGGCCTAGGGTTTCGGAGCTCAGGCGCTTCATCGTCTCTCTTCCTGGCTTCAAGTGCCCAGCCCTCAGCGCACAACTTTGGGGACCCGCACAGTCAGGTGTGTGAGAGCGTGAGTGTGGGTGTGTTGCCCTGGGATGACCCTAAACCTGGCCCTATCAGCGCCGCCTCTGCTCACTGTTGTTAGCAGCACTGACCGCACATGGTTGCTTCTGAGCAGACCTCGCTAAGTCATGAAAGCACAGCCCCGGACTTTTCAACTTTTTGGGTTTCCTTATATTGTGGGAACAAGAAGGTTCAAACGTTTGAAGAAGTAGGTGGCATTCAGGGTGTCCCAAAACCCAAAACCAATCCTCCAGCCCCAAGCCCCAAACTCAAATCCACCCTCCGGAGCTGGCAGCCCTAAACCCTAAACCCTAAACCCTAAACCCTAAACCCTAAACCCTAAACCCTAAACCCTAAACCCTAAACCCTAAACCCTAAAACATAAACCCTAAACCCTAAACCCTAAACCCTAAACCCTAAACCCTAAACCCTAAACCCTAAACCCTAAACCCTAAACCCTAAACCCTAAACCCTAAACCCTAAACCCTAAACCCTAAACCCTTAACCCTTAACCCTCAACCCTCAACCCTCAACCCTCAACCCTCAACCCTCAACCCTCAACCCTCAACCCTCAACCCTAAACCCTAAACCCTAAACCGTAACCCCGAAACCCGAAACCCGAAACCCGAAACCCGAAACCCGAAACCCTTAACCCTTAACCCTTAACCCTTAACCCTTAACCCTAAACCCGAAACCCTAAACCCTAAATACCCAAACCCTAAACCCTCATCCTTGAAGGCAAGATCGTGACCAAGGAGGGTAGCAAGGAGGTCCAGTCCGGCCCCCTGAGTGGTTGCAGGTTACCGGCCAGGGGTGTAGGGTTTAGGGTTTGGGGTTTGGGGTTTCGGGTTTAGGGTTTAGGGTTTGGGGTTTGGGGTTTAGGGTTTAAGGGGTTTAGGGGTTACAGGGGTAGGTTTAAAGTTAATTTCAATTCTCGAATTTTACCCTTAATCCTCTATACAATCCTGAGAAAGCCATACAGACTTAGGCTTCATAGGGCCCCCAAACCTACCCCAGTTTAGAGCTATGGTTTCAGATTCAGTCCCCTAGACCAGATACCCTAATATGAGGGTGGGAATCGCTATTCATAACTAGGATCAATTTATAATTACTGTATACTATAGCGACCCCCCAAGACTCTATTCGAACTATTCAGGCCCCTATATTACACATGGTCAAGCCCAAGCTCTGGGGACACCTGCTTTTGAAAGGAGTGTTTTGGGCCCTGCTTGGGCTGTTGTAAGGCTTCCCAAGCCCTTGCGCAAAGTCCTTCTTCAGCCCCGAACTCCTTCAAATTCCTCGGCGCTGACGCCTCCAAATCAAGAAGCTTGAGTCCTAAGCCGAAAAATGCTGAGTTTGAACTTCTCCCCGCCTCTTTTGCAAGGCTCTGAGCATCTGAGAGAAGCTTTCCCAATTCAGTCCCAGCGCTGCTCCATGCACAAGGGGGGCCCCTTAGATCTCAAGGAAACTTCGAGGGAGTCCCTGGAGTCCAAATTGCAAGGAAGTGATGAACAGGAAATAAACGTCCTTTCAGTTCATTTGGATCTGATGGATAGTTCGGGCCCCCCTGGCTAGAGCCACAAGGCAGGCGTAGCACCGTATGTAGGAAGATGTA